GAAAAAAAATTATTGAATTACACTTTTTGAATTATTTTTAGTATCTAGAAATTTTAAGAGGAGAAAGCAATTATCTGAACCTTAAGTGTGTGTCCAGGATGGCCGAGTGGTTATGGCGCCAGGCTTGTGTCGCTTAGCGCTTCTCGCTCTGTCAACTGAATTTGTTAAAAGTTGATTGACTGAATCTTATCCGGTGAGATCTTGTTAATTCATAGTTGTTAATTCATAGTTGTTGATTTCTTGTGTTGTGTTGCCGTGGATTTACCACGAAAAGTCTGGAGCCAACTTGTCAAAAGTGTAGTGCAATACTACTCTTCAGTCCAATCTGTTATCTGACAGAGGAAGCGTTAAGCCAGTTACCTGGAAATCGCAGGTTCGATTCCTGCTCCTGGAGAAAGTATGATAGGACGCTTTCCCCTATCTTTTTTGGTATCTTAAGTTATTTCTGCTTTATATATACATAAAAAATAAACATCAAATGTATACTTCACAAAATATTAATCATAAAAGAATTCGACATATCAGTTATAATTTCATATATTAATAACTTAAAAACTACATAATTAAAGAATTCAATATTTCATTTAAAGTATATAATATTTAGTCACAAATAATTTTTACATTTTAAATTTCTTTTTATAAAATTAAAAGGATATTCAGCCTTTACACATGTGTGTTTTAGAAATTTTTACGTTCTTTTTGAAAATTAATAAGTAAATTAACTAATTTGATAATTCTCAGATCAGAATTAACGTGCATCAGCCCCGGTAACACGGTGTGTGTTTAGTTGCACAGGGCTCGAGTCCTCGATTCGACGAAAATCGCTAGGCTGCAGAGGCAGTTCACTTTTCTTTGAAGTCCCTTCTATCTTCAAATTCCTTTTCGCATTGTCTTCACAAAGGCACAGTATCGGCGTTGTGAGGAGGTTGCTAACTCAAGGAAACCACCGGGCCAAGAGTCCCCTTTGAATATCCACAAGGCCATTGACGGCCTTTACAGTGAATAAAAAGGGTGTGAATTATGCGTCAAAAATTAAATATGATTTATAAACGATGCTTAATTAAATTAGGAATTAATCGTAACGTCGATGGAACGCGTATACCGTGAGATTGTCAACTCTATGAAGGGAATAATATCAGTACTTGCTATTATTCAGTTCTTAAAGTCATTAAGGAGAAAAGAACACGTGATCTGAAGGGACGATGGAAATCATTACTTTGAACAAAAGTTTAAAGTGTGAAGAC